AGCAGACCCAGGAAGGAGGCAAAAAGAAGAAAGAATGGCTCAGGTTTTCACTTTGCATAACTGATAGAAAGCTGTGCATTTACTGAAATAGGAAAACAATGGCAAACTAGGTGTGGGAGGGAAATCAAGAGTTTGATTTTGGACATGTTGAGCGTGAGAGTCCCACTAGATATCTGAATAGAAAATGGAAGGAGGCAGCTGGATATACTAGCCACGGGGCTAAGTGAGAACACTGAGGGAGTGATTGTAGATAAGGGAATTTTCCAAGCACTGAGTGCTAGGAATCTCCAGCCCTGAAGGTTCAGAAGGAGGCGCACAGAAGCGGCAGCCAGGAAGGGGGCAGGGAAAGCAGACCATGATGGAGGTCCCTCACCCCTTTCTGCTTGGCAAATTCTGCTTCATCCCTGAAGCTCTGGCTAAAACAGCTCCTCCTCTGGGAAGCCCTCCCTGACTGGGTCAGGCAAAGTTAATTACTCCCTTCTCTGTGCTCTTGCAGCACCCTGTAGAGGCCCTTCTCCATCATTTAGGACAAGCAGTTGTGATCCCCAGGTGCCAGTCTTCCCCATAATCTGCGCCCCTCTTGGGGCAGGGACCGTGCCTTACCCATGGCCACCTGCCCCACAGCTAGCTCGGGGCTTGTCTCAGTGCATGCCCAGGGAATATCCCTAAGGAAGAAAAAAGCTTATGTATCAGAAGTGGTCAAGGAAGGCTTTACAGAGAAGGAGGGATTTAAGCAGCACCTTGGTGGAAGCACTGAATTCCAAAAAACAGTGAGACTGGAGAATGAGCCTGCCAGGCCAAGACAGAGGAGGACAAATGGGCAGGCTCAGGAAAGCACAAACTATGTCTAAGACACAGGAGCTGCTGTGTGTGGCAGGACAGATAAGGAAATGGAGGCGAAGAAAGGTTAACTGGCAAGCTCACCAGCTCGCGTGGCTGGAAGGAGCTGGTATTAGCTCAAACCCAGGGCCTCTGAGAGCGAAACCCAAGCCCTCGCGTGGCCACAAAGCTGCTTCTTCATCTCCTTCCCAGGGGGCGTCTGGGGCTAAAGGGGAGCAGGAGATCAAAAGAACAAAGAAGAAAGAGGAGCACTTTAGGCTTCAGGAAAGGTGTCTCCTTCAGACATCTAAGGGAAAGGATCAGGAGCCAAGGAGAGAATGAGACACAGCGCTAAAGGAAGATAGAGACGGAGCAACAGAACTGGGAAAGAATGTTCTTGAAAGCTGAGCTGGGAAACCTTTCCTTTGCGTGTGTTTTTCTGCCACATGAATCATCTACCCCCACATGGACCTGACTGCCGAAGCCAGGGTCACACCGCTGCCCTTCTTGAGGGCCGTGAGGACGTGTCGTGGGGGGCTGGCTGCACGATGGGGTTGGGGGGGGGGGGGACGTTCCTAGGCAACAGATTACAGGAAAGCTGCCCACAGCCTGAGCCGCGCCAGCAGCCGCTCCAGGCCACCACAATTTCCCAAGCAGTTATTGTGGCTATGATTGGAAAGGGGTCACAATCACATGTTTGAGATAAACGTAATGTCGCTGGCTGGAGTTTATGTCCCGGAATGCAGCAACGTGGGCCCGGCCCAGGCTACAGGCGAAGGGGGCTCCACGACAAAGAAATCATTTCTTGTACGTGCACAGAACGTTATAGTTTGCCTCTTTATCTCACATGTGATGGACAATGGCCCTGGGAGGAGGCTGAGGAAACAGGCACAGAGAAGTTAAGTGACTTAGGTAAGGTCACACAGCAACTCCATAGCAGAACCATACCGTTTCCTTCAATCTTCGGGTTTCAAGTTACTTCGGGTATCTGAGACCCAAACTAACAAGTGTTTTACCAAGTGATGAGGATAAAGAAAGTAAGAGAGGACTCCAAGGGGAAAAAACCTAGTATTTTGTCGATCACCGTGAATCTGAAATGTCTGGTAAACCCAATTTCAGACATCTAACACTTTACTCCTCGTCGAAGCTTTGTACCTACAGTATCTCATGCTGCTCCTAAGAAGGCAGCTGGGGAAGTAAGTGTGGGTGATTCCCAGGGAAAGAAACAGAGGCCCAGGGTAGTGAAGGACTTTGCCCAAGATCACACAGCTGCGAAGGGGAAGAGCTCCTCCTTGGAGCGTTGCTTCCAGTCCGGTGCTCATCCCCTGACCCCAGGCCTGGAAGCAGTTAGTGTGGTCAAGCAAAGGAAAACAGACACGGGGCTGCGGTTCCATCTGCTAGACGTCATCTGTCCAAACCAGTGGCTCCCTCCCTGTCTGCCCTCCAGTTCCCCACAGCTTGCACCCCTGGTTCCACCCCAGTGGCTGCCCACGCAGCCCGTCCGCAGCAAGACAAGCAGCAAAGCCGCCACCCTGGCACTCCCCCCTGCGCCCTCACCGTGCCAGGGCTCCGTGGCTTGGCTGTGCATGCCGGGCCCTCATGACTCTCCTGGAATAGCCGTCACCATCAAACAGATGCAGCCACACGGTCCCCTGGGATGACCCCTGGATGCCTCCACGTTGCAACGGTCTCCTTTGCCCTAACCTTTTGATGGCTTGGGATCGGACTTGTTTTCTCTGGTCCTATCTCTAAGTTCTCCCCACTTACCCTTTCTAATGCCGTAAGCTACCTACCTGATGGCTGAGCTGGACAGACATCCTACCTGGGAACCAGAGTCTGGGGTCCAAGGGCCTAAGGACGGATCTCTAGATCTAGACCCATCCATCAGAGTCGCTGCCCCCCTGCCTCTCCCCTCCCTTCTTTATTCCATCGGCCTGTTGCTTTCCTGCCAGTCTTGGATGGAGGACGAGAAACAACCCAAACAAATCGTATGTATTGATATTGGCCTAGATAGTAGTGCAAATGAAATGGGTCCCAACAGCCCACCTCAACATGTGGTGGAAAAGAATGTTGAAAAAGACCATATACTTTATAGTAGCGTTTTTATAAAGCTCAAAACCAAGCAAAACAAAACAATATATATTGTTAGGGATACATTCGTGCATAAGAAAAGTATTTTTTAAGGCAGGGGGAATGATAAACATAAAATTCCAGACACTGTGACCCTTGGCGTGGGTAGGAAAGTGGGATGGGGACAAGCACAGTAGCTAGCAAGCGAGCTTGGGTAGGGAGGTGGCGTTTGGGATGACCATTTTGTTGTTCTGCTCCAAAGCTTACAGGCGTGTTCTGTGTGTTCTTTTTATACATTCACCTGCCACAAAGTAATTTGGAAGATGAGATGGAGAGGGTCCCAGAGGTACTCCTTCTTACCATCTGCTCCCCACTCTGAGTATCTGGTGGCAGGAACCCGGGTGTCTACTGAATTGCCCGGACTCCAGCCTCGCCCTGCTTCACAGCTCTACTCTCGTTCCCTCCCCTTCCTCCCGCGCTCTGGCTCGGGCCACCACGCTGTGGCCCCAGCCCCCTCACTCCCATGAAGATCATCCTCGATGATCACGAAGCACAGTGGACAATTTCAGTTCTGGTCTCGTGTGACAGCTCAGTGGCATTTGCCACTGCTGATCCCTGCCTGCTCCTTCTCCAAGCACGTCTTCCTTGGCACTCAAGGTACTTCCTCTCCTGATATCCCTTCTACGCCTCAAGCCCCTTCTTGTTGGCCTGTGCTGGTCCCTCCCCCACCCCCCACCCCCACCTGTCCCTTGCCTAAACAGTGGTGCCCACAGGAGTCTTCTGAGGCCCCGCCTCCCCTGCAGCCTCACACGGCTTCCGTCATTGTCTGAACGCTGGTGAGTTCTCAGCCGGGCCCCAGCATCTCGCTCCTGAACGCCAGGCCCAAATGTCCAATTGTCCACTCAAACTCTCCACTTGGAGGTCACATAGGCTCTTCAAGGGCGTGTTCAAGTCCAACTCCTGACCTTCCCCACACAAGCCTGGTCCCCTTCCTGTGGCTTCTATTCATCCATCCAAGTGCCTAAGCCACGAGAGTCAGTCTCGGTTCTCCTCTGTCCCTCACCGCCACTGCCTCACCAACCCCTTCAACCCCAGCAGTCACCAGCCCAGCCCGTGCACCTCCTAAATGGCTCTCAGATCTATTCTCTCCACCCGCACCGAGATCTTCCCAATCCAAGTGAACATCAGCTCTTGCTTGTATGAAAGCCATCGGTTCACTAGTCACCTCCCTGCTCCCAGCCTTGCCCAATCCACTCTCTACCCTGCAGCTGGTTTGTTCTTTGTAACGTGCAAACCTGAGCCCACCATTCCCCTGTGCACATCCTCTGGGGGCCCCCACAGCCCTCAGCCTTCCATGATCCGGCCGCGACCTACCTCTCCCGCCTCCTCTTCCCTCATCTCCCTCCAAGCTCTGTCTCAAACCCCACCCTCCAACCACACCGAATCTCTTTCAATTCCTCAAACTGCATGACTTCCCCCCCCTTCCCCCTAGGGCTGTGAACATGCCCCCCAGAACACTGTCTCCCCAGCCCTATCCAGAATCTCTGACTTCGTCCAATTGCCACTCCCAGACCACCCTCACTCACAGCCAGAAAATGTCAGACAGTCCCACAATGTCACAGTGCCCAGTCCATTTCTTCCTCTACTCTAGCCCTTGTGACACTTTATACGAGGTGCTTTCTAAACGATTTGTCTCCCATATTAGTAAACTCCATGCCTCGGCCAGAGGAGACCTGACCGACTGTCTACGCAGTACCTGGGACAGTGCCTGGGCCCTACGAAGCAGGTGGTACAAAATGCTGGAAGGAAGGATGAATAAATAAATGGCAAGCACTGTGCTTGTGTTATTTCATTTAATTCTTACAAGAATCCTTTCAGGGAGGTACTCTTCGTCTCATTTTACAGGTGAGAAACGGGAAGCAACTTGCCTCTATTCACACAGCTAGCAAATGTAAAGTTGGACCCAGGTTTAACCTCCAAGGCCACACCCGCAAACCCCTCTGCCCACCTCTGGCCGCCCCACCCCCACCTTTCATCCCACAGGAAGCCAGGGAGCCTTCCACAGGCCCCGTGAGGTTTTGGGAACTCAGGCTGGGACTGGCAATGGTTACCTGGAAGCACGTGGGCCCCGGCCTCCCCGCGGGGATGTCCGACTGGTAGAAAACTTTGAGCTCTGGAGTCAGGGCAATGACAGTCTTAATCACCAGGGAGATGATATCAGACCAGACCTTCTTGATGTCAACACCTTTGGAAGACAACCTACAAAGGATGCTAGAGAAAGTCCTTTTGCTGCCCGTGCTAGCGCTGTCCGAATGGACAAAGTTACCACTGTGGATGTTCAGGGAATAGTTGGTTAAGTGCATAAAGATGTGGTGCAGATTTTTGGGGTTGGGCTCCTGATATGGCTCTGTACAAAATCTAGAGAGTCCATCTTTGGCTATATAAATCTCTAAGGGGTCTAAGGACTTGAGTAAGACATACAGACGAATGTCAAACTTGAGCTTGTCAATCAGAAGAGGTTTGCAGATGTACTCCTGGACCACCGCTGGTCGGCTCTGAAGGGTCCCTGCCAGGCGGATGTCACTGGGGTCTTTAATGAGGTAGATGCCATCGCCCTGACAACCACTGTCAGGCTTCACAATAAAAGTGGGCTTCCAGGAGGGGTCGCCATCTTTCACCATTCGAACCTGGTGGGGAAAAAAGAATGGTTAGCCTTACATTCTTTTCCTCTCTGCACCCCCAAGACAGAGCAGGACCTCAGCCAATGTTTGGTGAAGGAGTGACAAAGTGAGCCCTGCCTGTGGGAGTCTTCACAGGACTAAGAACTGTCGTGACCTAAGAACTGTCCTTAGTCTTGTCCTCCAGGAAGGGGACCGGGAATGTGGCGGATCTTCGGTCCCAGGAGCTAGGTCCAAATCCCGGGTGTTTGTCGGAGATCTAACACCGGGCAAGTCATTTAACTCATGATGATATGATAATGGTGAGGAGGAGGAGGAGGAAGAGAAGGAGGAGGATAATGGCCTAACACCATTTTTAAAGAAGATTTTATTTATTTATTTGACAAAGGGAGAGAGAGCATGAGCAGAGGGGAGGGGCGGGGGCAGGGGGAGAGGGACAAGCAGACTCGCCACGGAGCGGGGCGCCCAATCCTTGATGGAGATTCCAATCCCAGTTCTGCTTCTCAGCTAGCTGACAAGTTACTTCATCCTTAAGAAATAGGGATGGCTGGGCTTCACAGTTGCCTTTCACGGGTCAGGCTCTGCGTGCTTGGGCCTTTGCATTCCTGATCTCACTTAATCCTCAGAACAATCTTACTCCTGTTGTGCAGAGGAGGACGACACCGAGAACTTAAGTGACTTACCCAGGTCACACAGGAGCAGCAGGGCCAGGATGGGGCTCAGGCAGTGGGACTGCAGTGCCCACGCTCTGACCATCTCTGCTCCTTGTGTTGTGAAAGAGAATCATATTCTCTGTGAGGGTCAGAGTAGGTGGACGGTGCCGTGTGGACTATCTGGCGCATCGCAGGCACTCATGAATGGGGCTGGGCCGGGGCGCCCGGTGGGCTCAGTCGGTTACGCGGCTCCTGGGATCGAGCCCCGCATCGGGCTCGCTGCTCAGCAGGACTGTCTGCTTCTCCCTCTCCCTCTGCTCTTACCCCCACTTGTACTCACTCTACCTCTCAAATAAATAAATAAATCTTTAAAAAAATAAAAATGGGGATCTACAACCCTACCCTCACTGGATCACTCTAAGGAGGAGATAAACTGAAATGTGCCAAGGGCCGAGTGTAAGACCAAACGCGGAGCTAGTGCGGGGAAACGTTCATGTTATCATTTGTATCTCCCGTTCGGTTCCTCTAGCAGACCAGGCCCATCCTCCTTCGGTCTGTTGAGATCTTTTTGAAACTAGATTCTGCCATCCATAATATCTGCTGTCTTTCCAGCTCCAGGTCAGCAGCACATTCACATAATTATCTGGGGCACTTGACCAGTCCAGACACTCAGTCTGGATCTGCAGGTCTGCTGTATGATTCATGCACACCCAATTCCCCTGGACACTCATCAGGTCCTCTGTGCGGCCACGGAGAGTGCACAGACTTGGACTTGGAGGGGGCAGGGGAGCTGGAGGAAGCCTGGAGGCAGATGGGAAAGAGGGAGCCAGTCTCTCTGCAGCTTCTGCCGGGCCGTGCAAGACTCACAAGCAGGCCTTCCGTTCTGGGCTCTATAACTCAGAGCCATGCCCGGGTGGTGGGGGGGGCAAGGAGGTGGCGTGCCGCCCACCCCCCCCCCCCAGCCCCGGACTCGCCCCGGCCCTCCACCTTTGCTGCAGCAGCTCAGCCCATGACATCTGCACTCTGGGTTTTACTTATCTCTCTGGCCAGCCTATATTTCTAAGTGAAGGTTTTGCCAATTCCTTGGGCACTATCGGTTACTCCGGGCTTGTAAAAGATCTTTAACAATGGAGAAACACTTAAAACCTTAATAATGGTCCACATCAATTGTTTCCCCTTGTCAGCAGGATTCAGGAATGGAAGTTCACAAGAGATCAATGCAAGCCTTTCGTGCAACTGTGACCTTGACGTTTATGTAGTTATTTAATATGCATCCAAAGCATTCCTATATTTGGCCCTTCACAGTAAATATAAGCATGCTGGAGAAATGGCAGTTATGGATCAAGAAGTGAAAAATGTGAAGTTTGCACTGATGGGTAATTTTTCCCTCTGGAAAGCTTTTACTATGCTGAAGATACTAACAGTTCAATATATCATGGGGAGCAATATTTTCTCCTTTGAATTCAGTGTATATGCCTTAAATAAATTAAACTACATGGTCAATAGTCTCTGTCATTCATTGCATTACTGAATATTTCTTCTGCTCTTTGCCAAGGTAGGACCATACAAATCATGATTATTAATACTAATGGGATCATTGAAATTTTAGAACCAGGAGGATCCTCGGAGATCAACACCGCCCAGTCCTCCCATAATTCAAACTGAGAAGATGAGGCTCCGAAAGGTGACATGACTTGCCTTGGGTCCCCGGGCTGGCTGGTGGGATGGTTCGGATGAGAACTAAGGACATCTGACCTTACTGCAGGTTCTCTATGCCCATCTACCTCTCCTAAGATAAAACTAAAGGCCTCTTTTTCCTGAATACTATAGGGAAGATTTTCTCAGTATGGCAGGCAATGTTGGTGTCTGAGTTCTGGGTGCACACGAAGGAGTCTGGCCCCTGAGCATGGCCTTCTCGGAGCTGTAACCACAGATGCTGAGTTTGCCAGGGCCTCCCCAGTTCCAGAAGCTTCTGCCCGGGCTCCTGGCTTGTTATAATATAGGTACAATCTATGGGAAAGCCTCAGAGCTTTGGGTTCCCTTGGCCACCAGATCCTTCAGTGGCTTCTATTTTTAAAAGGGAAAGAGATTTTCCAGAATTCACATTCACCTCTCCTCTGAGGTTTTACTCGAGTGACCCTTTCCCCCCAGTTATTAAAGTTAAGGACTAATGCACTAGTTCTTAGCAAGAACACATGGGCTAGGATAAAAATATAGTCTATCTAACTAGGCCCCAGCCCCAGAAATTCTGATTTAATAGATCTGGGAGGAGACCCGGGCATGTGTACTTTGGAAAAAGCATGCAGGGTGATTCTGATGTTCACTCCGCTTGAGAATCACTGAACTAATGTGAATTGAATAAAAATACAATCAGGGACCAACGTATCAAATGAAGTTTTATGCACTAATGTTAGCCTGAATAGGAGGAAGACCTGCACGTAGGCTGTAGCTGCTGGTATCTCCAGTTTTACCCAAAGCTGCTGTTGGACGTGAAATCCATTATCTTGTAACTATGCACGGATGGCTGAAAGATATGCAAAGAGGATGTGGTGGCCTGATCGATTGGCACGCATCTGGCCTTTTGAAAAATTTATGTGTCTTTTACTGCCCCCTAGTGGATATTTAAGAAATGTGACTGGGACAGACGCCCCATTCCAAATTCCAACTCTTGGCAGTAATCGGCTCTACCATGATGGTCTTAAAGAAGCACCGCTACGAAGAGCTCCCTCTGTAGACTGTTAAGGTAAAGTAAGATCATACTTTGAATGAACTCCTCTCCTGACAAGGCCAGGGTTGGCCAAGGTCACATTCAGTGTTCATGCTCTCTGTTCCTTCAATACATTTCAAGTGTTCTCCCTACTATACAGATGGGACTATCTGTTAAGATTCTCTCTTAGTATGTATAAAACCTAAAATTATGGGCAGCATGAATATGAAATCCTGCAAATATATACCACAAAAACATCTGTGACTTTTCTGTTCTTCACTGTGCTTTTTTGTATTTTCCCAGCTTTCCGTTAGGGAAAAAAAAAAAAGATGAGTAGCCATGGTCAGCAGCAAGTGTCTCTAAATGTGTGTAAGGAATACTTCTCGGTGAATAGATACTTGTACATCCACGTTCGGAGGAGCATGCCTCACAATAGCCAAAAGGTGGGAGCAGCCTGAGTGTCCATCACCAGAAGAGTAGATAAACAAACTGTGCTATCCACAGACAACAGAAGACTATTCAGCCGTACAAAGGAAGGACGCCTGCCACAGTGGGTGAACCTGGAGGACATTATGCTAAGCGAAAGAAACTGTCACACTAAAGGAAAAAACTGGATGGTCGCACTTATGGGAAGTACCTAGAGGAGCCAGAATTCACAGAGACAGAAAGTAGAGGGGTTACCGGAGGCTGAGAGAGGGAGAAATAGAGAGCTGGCGTGTGAGGGGCACAGAGCGTCAGCCTGGGGAGATGGAAGAAGATGGTGGCAGTGGTTGCACAGCAGTGTGAATGCATTTGATCCCCTCAACCATACACTTAAAAATGGTGACGACTGCAAGTTTTATGTTATGCGTATTTTACCACGATTTTTTTAAGTTTTTAAAAATGTTCAATAGAATGAAGGAACTAAATAGCTTTCGGTGAGTTAGAAAGAAAACTGAAGTAAAAAAAAAAAAAAGAAAGAAAACAGAGAATGTGGATTCTAGCCCCAGTTTAGTCAGGCAATTTCTGACTGTGTGACCTTGGGAAAGTCCCCTATCCTCTCCTGGGCTTTGTTGTACTCACCTATAAAATAAAGAGGGTATGCTAAGGTCCCCGGCTTCTGCCAACTAACAGGGTCTGAACAGTGATTTATCTTGACATCACCACAGTTGAAGGCTGTGTTACAAACACGCAAGTGACATTAATCAGCGGAGAGCTCACGCTGGGCTGCTGAGATGAGTGCGTCGGGAGGGTCTGCAAGAGCGGGAGATCTGGACTGGAGATTTATGATGCACTTGAGGAAGTCGGCTGGGCAGCTGGGGGAAGCGAGCTAAAATATTTTGAGAGAGAAATTCAGCAACTGGAATACTAAGCCACAAAACATGATTAGCAATGAGGGGCAGCTAAGAGGACAGTTTCTGAGGAAACACGGTGTCTGCAATCCCTGGGAGGTCAAAGCCAGTTAGAGCGGTCCTCTGTCACTCAGGTGGACTGGCATCCAATCTCAGCAACCGAGACCCTTGGTGTTGCAGGCACGGGTAAAACAAAGCCTCTGGAAGACAAGCCGATGTCACAAAGCGCGTGCATGCAGGGACCAGCCCCTTCCAGCCTCCGTGGACTGAGCCTCGCGCCCAGGGCAAATCCCTGCCCCCGGCGCTCCGGGTGATCTC